CAGTTTTGGTGCCAATTTTCTATATTAGGCTTTACTTGCATTGCTATAAAGAAATACTGAGGCTAGGTAATTTATAAAGAGACTGAACTGGCCCACAGTTCTACAGGCTGTACAAGAAACATGGTGCTCATATCTGCTGCTGATGAGGGCCTCAGGAAGCTTCCAATCATTGCAAAGTGAGCGCAGGTTCATCACATGGTGAGAGCAGAAGCATGAAAAAGACAGAGGAGGGGCTGGGCACAGTGGCTCATGCCTGTAATCCCAGCACTTTAGGATGCCAAGGCAGGTAGATCACCTGAGGTCAGGAGTTTTGAGACTGGCCTGGCCAACATGGTGAAACCCTGCCTCTACTAAAAATACAAAAATTAGCTGGGCATGGTGGCATGCACCTGTAGTCCCAGCTACTTGGGAGACTGAGGCAGGAGAATTGCTTGAACCTGGGAGGCGGAGGTTGCAGTGAGCTGAGATCACATTACTGTACTCCAGCCTGGGTGACAGACAGAGAGAGATGCTGTCTCAAAAAATGAGAGAGAGAGAGAGACAGAGAGAAAACGTGCGACACTCTTTTGAACAACCAGATCTTGCATAAACTACCAGAGCAAAAACTCACTCATCATCAAGGGGATGGTGCTAAGCCATTCATGAGAAATCCACCTCCATGACCCAAACACCTTCCCACCAGGCTCCACCTCCAATAGTGGGGATTACATTTCAACACAAGATTTAGAGAGGACAAACATCTAAATTGTATCAATTGCATGGTAGCAAAATCTGAGCTTTTACTGTGCCCATCGTCTAAATAATGTACATTACACCCATTAAGTAATTTTTTTATCCTCTATTCCCCTCCCACCTCTCCACCCTTCTGAGTCTCCAATGTCTATCAGTCTATACTCTGTATATGTGTATACAGTATTCAGCTTTCACTTATAAGAAAAAATGTGCAGTATTTGTCTTTCTGTTTCTGAGTTGTTTGACTTAAGATATATTTTTACTCAATTGTCATGTTATTTGCAGCTTTTCCATTGATTTGGGTGAGGAGGAATTTCCAGATATAAGATCGTGTTACTTGCAAAGAAAAATGGCATTACTTCTTACTTTGCCATTATTGTGCCTCTAGTTTTTTTCTTTTATCTACTTGCTTTGATTAGTATCTGTAACACAATATTCAATAGTACTGGAGGTGGTCGGCATCCCACATTAGTGACACAGTCTCTAGTTTTCCCATTAAGCAAAATTCAACTTTTGGGCTGGTACATGCACAAAAGCATGCTCGTGTGTGTATTCATGTTAATAATATATCCATATATTTATATTTTGTTTCCATTTTTAAGGATTTTTTTCAAATACTTTTATGCATCTATGGAGATTGGCATGTTTTACTTCTTATCTCTATAAATATGATGGACTGTATTAATGAATTACTTAATATTGAATAACCTTTACATTCCTGGAATAAACTCAGCTTGACAATGACACATTATTTTTAAAGTGTTGTTAAATTTTGCTTGCTAATATTTTATCTATTTTTTTGAAGTAATATATTTCAATTAATATAATGATGATATTATGTATTTACTACAATTATTTGTCAGTTTTAGTTTTGATGTAATACTTGCTTCACAAAACTAATTTATAAGGTTTTTTTTTCTTTCTCCATATCCACAAACTTTATAAGTAGTTTTGGAATTTACCTGATTGGTAGAATTCCTGTCACTCCATCTGGGTTTGATGCCTTCATTGTGAGGGTGCACTTCAACTATGTTCTTTATTTCTTCTATCATAATTGGTCTGTTAGACTTTGACTAAGGTAAATTTTGGCAGATTGCATTTTTCTTAACAATTATCTATTTCATGTAGAATTTAGGTGCATCTGCAAATACATGATCTGAATAGGCCTATACCTACTAAATAAATTTAATCAATAATAAGTTTCCAAAGAAAGCACTAGGCCTATACGGATTCACTAATAAATATTACCAAACATTTAAGTAATAAATTATGTCAATTGTCTACAATCTTTTCCAAAGATAGAAGCAGAAGGAATACTTCCTAACTCATTCTATAAGGCCAGCATTACCCAAATATCAAAGCCAGAGAAGAACATCACAAGAAAATAAAACTACAGAGCAACATCTCTCATGAATATAGATACAAAAATTCTCAACAAAACATTAGCAAATAAAATCCAACAATGTATAAACAGAATTATACACTATGACCAAATGGGATTTACCCCAGGTATGCAAACCTGATTCAATATTAGAAAATCAATTAATGTAATCCACCATATCAACAGGCTATGAAAAAATCATATTCATACAGTAAACGCATTTGACAAAACCTAACACCCATTCATGATAAAACCTCTCAGTGAACTAGGAATAGAAGGAAATTTCCTCAACTTGATAAAGAACATGTACAAAAACAAACCCCACAGCTAATATCATACTTAACAGTAAGAAACTTGAAGCTTTCTTGATAAGATCAAGAACAAGGCAAGGATGTCCCCCCTCCCCACTGTTTTTCAACATTGTATTGGAAGTACTAGCTAATTCAATAAGATGAGAAAAGGAGATAAAACATATACTTATTTGGAAGAAATAAATAAAACTGTCTTTGTTTCCAGATAACATGATTGTTTATGTAGGAAAAAAAAACAAAAGAATCAACCAAAAGAAAGCTCTTGGAACTAATAAATCATTATCAAGGATGCAGTATACAAAAAAAGGTTAACATACAAAAATCAGTCACTTTCCTATATACTAGCAATGAAAAAGTAGAATTTGAAATTAAAAACACATCACCATTGACACTGGCACCCCCAAAATAAAATAGGTATAAATCCAACAACATACACGTACGATCTCTATAAAGAAAATCATAAAACTGTAGGGAAAGACACCAAATAACTAAATAAATGGAAAGATATTCCATGCTAATGGATAGGAAGACTCAATATTGTCAAAATGGCAGTTTTTCCACACTTGGTCTATAGATTCAACACAATTCCCATCAAATCCTAGTATGTTATTTTTGTGAGTATTAACAAATTGATTCTAAAGTTCATAATGGAGAGACAAAAGATCCAAAATAGCCAACTAAATATTAAATGAGAACAAAGTTGAAGGACCGACACTACCCAGCTTTAAGACTTACTATAAAGCTACAGTGATTAAGACAGCAAGGTATTGGCAAAAGAACAGACAACTAGATCAATGGAACAGAAAAGAAAGCCCAGAAAAAGACTAAATAAGTACAACAGATATTTGATAAATGAGTAAAGGTAACACAATAGTACAAGGTAAGTGTCTTCAACAAGTAGTGCTGGAACAACTGGACAGGCACATATAAAAAAATGAATTGAGACACAGATTTTATACACTTCACAAAAAATGAAGTCACGGCAGATCTCAGGCTTAAATATAAAATGTAAGACTATACAACTCCTAGAAACTAACACACGACAATGCCTTTTTAGATACACCACCACCATTAAAAACTTCTGCTCTGCAAAAGACACTGTCAAAAGAATTAGAAGACATGCCACAGACTGGCAGAAAACACTTACAAAAGACATGTCTGATAAAAGACTGCTATCTAAAACATACAAATAACTCTTTAAACTCAACAATGGGAAAACAAACCATCTAACTGAAAATAGGCAAAAGCCCTGAACAGACATCTAGCCAAAAAAGCCATACATATGCCAACTAAGCATATGAAAAGATGCACAACATCATACATCATTATGGAATTGTAAATTAAAACAATAAGAAGATTACCACTACACATCTATTAGAATGCCAAAATCTAAAACACCAACATCAAATGCTGGCAAGGATGTGAAGCAACAGGAACAGGACATGAAAGAAGCTAATCTGCAAAGGGTACAAACTATGTGACTCCAACTGTAAGACACATTGGGAACAGCAAAACCATAGAAATAGTAAAAAGATTAGTGGTTGCAGAAGCAGCTGGGAGAGAGGTATAAACAGAGCACAGAGGAACTTTAGGGCAATTAAACTATTGTGTACAATATTATAATGGTGGATAGATGTCATTATACCTTTGTCAAAACCCATGGAATATATCACACCAAGAGTGAACGCTTCTTTAAACTCTGCATTCATGTGTGAACGGAAATGAAAAATGTTTTCCCTATTTCATCTGCTGTTTACAAATAAGCCCACTACTGTCAGGTAATTATCCAGGAGTGCTTTGAGTCTTCTGCTCTCAGATCCATAAGATATTGTGTTGCTTCCCTCAGCTCACTCCTTTCAGATGCTGGTGCCACATGGACCTAGCTATAAGGGATTTGTCCCCAATGGCTTTCATCTTGAGGCTTGTGGATAAAACTTGTTACCTAGTTTTATTGCAGATGTTGTCCATTTTGCTCTACCTATTTGTATGGAGGACCTGAAGAGATTTTAAAAATTACACTTAGACTATCACCGTCATCCCATAATTACCCCTTCTGATTTTTACTCAAGCAAACAAACATTCTAGAATATTAAAATATTTGAGCCCACTTTTCAACCTCAGGCTAATGCTGCAGTAAATGGACTCCCTGACCCCCTCTTAGACTACATACATAAAGGTTCTGTTTGTTTATTGAGTGCTTGTCCACGTCTGTGCTCATTTTTAATTTAAAATTTCAGACTCTATCCTCACAATAGTGTTTTAAAGTAGACATTTGCTGGCCCTGAATAGATCCTTTCCTCCTCCTCAAGTCATTTTAATGACACGGTCTTGCACTGTCACCAAGGCTGGAGTGCAGTAGCCTGACTGTAGCTCACTGCAGCCTCAACCTCCAGGTTCAAAAGATCCTCCCACCTCAGCCTCCCGAGCAGCTGGGAACACAGGCGTGCGCCACAGCGTCCGACTAATTTTTGTATTTTTTGTAGAAACGGGGTCTCGCTTTGTTCCCTGTGCTGTCTATGCTATTCTTATATCCACCTCTGGCTACAGATATTTCTTTCCACTTTATGAAAGCTTACCCTTCTATGGCTGAGTTTTATCTTCAAGCGCCGACTGACCAGAGCGTTTTCTGGGACTCCCCCGCTGACAGGCCAGGCCTATGTTTTCCTTCACAGTTTCCCCCGTGGAACTGTGCAGCCCCTCTTCAGAGACTGTTCCAGCCTCAGGGGTGACGGCACGAGCTGAGACCTGGACGGGTGCGGGGTTCTTGATTGCAGCCGGGTGTCTTCCTTCCCCAGGGATGGATGAGACTCTGCCCGGGAGAAAAGAGAGGGACAGTCTGTGGCGGACTCCCATTCCTCTGCCTCTGCACAGGCTACTTTTTGGCATTCCTGCTCACCTGCAGAGCTCCTGGAAACGGGACACTGCATTCCTGAAAACGCAAAGTCTCCTCTGTACCAGTTACTCCGTTCTTGCCTGGGCTCCACACAGGCCAGCGCGCGCTCAGCTCGGTGCATGTGGCTGGGGCTGGGCCCTGCGAGCCACGCTTCTGCTGCCCCACTGGCCCTGCCGATAGGGGGCGCGAAAGGGAGGCCGCGGGGCTGGAGGAGGGCGGGCTCGCTCCAGTTTCCGCCCAGTGGGCTTCCCGGCGCCTGCGCGTCGCACGCCGTTGCGGCTGAGTCGTGCATGTGCGGAAGCGACCCCTTTGTGAGGTGGGCGTTAAAGGAGCAACCTCTTTGTGAGGTGGGCTTGAAGGGAGCAACCTTTTTGCTGCGTTGGCGTGACGGGAGCGACCTCTTTGTGACGTCGGCCCCCGCCGATGCCCCGCGCAGCAGCCATTAGGTCCCGCGCTGGAGGTGCACCGGCCTTCCCGCGGCCTTCTGAGGCCTAAGAGCTCCAAGCCCTGCCCTTCGTGCCCTCTGCTAGGCGCGCGGCCGCAGCCCACAGTGGATACCTCATGGCGACTCAGAGTTGTCTCTTTAGCCTCTCGGCTACATTCTTCACATGACGTTTTCTCGGTAAAATAAGCGGTGTGACTCCCCTCTCCTGACCGGGCTGTGTCCCAGGGCAGAGGCGGCTGGAAACGCCCCACTTGACTGGACAGCACTGCGAGGGCTGCGGTGGGAGCCCCTTTAGCGGGAGCCGCTTTCACAGAAGCTGGAGCGCACCTCAGTGCAGAGATGGTGTGGCCGGGAAGGACTTTCCTTTCCCAGTCCTCCCCTTACATCACAGGGCACAAGAGCCATCAGAAAAGCGTTCAAAGAAATAATAGCTGAAAGCTTTCCAGATGTGGCAAAAGACATACAGCTGCAGATTTAAAAAGCTAAACAAACCTCAATAATCGTAAACCCGAAGAAGTTCATGCCAATCACATCATAATTAAACGTCAAAAACCAAAGACAGAATAGATTTTGAAAGCAGCTGGAGAGAAATCAAATGTTGCTCATGAGGCAACACCAATTCACGTCAGCTGACCTTTCACCTGAAACTATAGGACGCAGAAGGGAGTGACTATTTTTTAAACTATTGAGGGAAAATAACTGTCAACTGTAGATTCAATATGTGGCAAAATTCCTCCAGGGAGTGAAAAGAATAGGTATTTATCAAACAAAGGAAAATTAAGAAAATTTGTTGTATCTTTAAAGAGTACCTAAAAGAAATTCCCTAAAAGGAAAGGAAATCAACAACAACAAAAGGACTTGGAACTTTAGAAAGAAAAGGAAAACATTAAAGTAGATTTTAGAAATTAGGAAAGATATAGTAAATACCCTTCAAATCATGAGTTTCCAAATTCATATTTGATGGTTAAAGCAAAAATTATATGACTACCTGATACGGTTCTCTATGCAGTGAACACACTTAAGCTCTCTATACATAAAAGTGGGAAGAAGAAAAAGACCTGAATGACAGTAAGGTATCTAACTTCACTCAAAGTGGCAAACATTGATACCAATACACTATGAAAGGTTGCATACATGTATTGTAAAACCTAAAGCAACAACTAAGAAAATTACACAATAAATACTACAAATAAGATGGAATCCTAAAAATGTAAGTTACCCACAACTAGGTAAGGAAAGAGAAACAGAAGAATAAGAAACAGAGAAAACAAAAGGAAAGCAAACAATGTCAGATGTATGTCCTAACATATTACTTAAATGTGAACAGTCTAAATATGACAAAAGATAGAGACTGGCAGAGTAGATAAAAACACAGAATCCAACAATATCTTGCCTGTAAGAAACTCTCTTTGAATTCAACACCACAGGTAAGATGAAAGTAGAAGGAAGGAAAGAGTTGTATTATGCAGACATTAATTAAAGTAGGAGTGGCTATATTAATATAAAAATAGTAGACTTCAGAGGAAAGAAAATTGCAAGTCAAAGAGCAACATTAAATAATGTAAAAGGATCAATCAGTGAGGAAGACGTTGTGATCCTAAATGTGTATGCTGCAGACAACAGAGCCCTAAAATATATGAAGCAAAAACAGAGTTGATAGGAGAGAGAAACAATTCCACAATTATAGGTGGGAAGTTTTAACATCTGACTCTCAGCAGCTAATGGAGCTATTAGACGATCAGCAAGAATACAGAAGACTGAGCAAGGCCATCACCCCACAGGATGTAACTGATATATAGAGAACACTCCCACCAACAGCAGCAGAGCACACATTTTCCAAGGGCCATGGAACATTCACCAAGCCATATCCTGGGTGATTAAACAAACAACAACAGTTTAAAATAATTGAAACTATACAGAGTGAATTCTTTAACCATAATGAAATCAAATTAGAAATCAATAAAATAAAAACAATGGAAAATATCCAAATACTTGAAAAATAAAAGACTTTTAAATAATTCATATATCAAAGAGGAAGTCTCAAAGGAAATTTCAAAAATACATAGAATGGGAAGAAAATGAAAATATAACATCTCAAAATATGTGGGGGGAGAAAACTAGTGCTGTGAGGAAATGTATAGCACTAAAAACAGAAAATGTCTCAAATCAATAACCTAAGTAACTACTTCAAGTAACTAGAAGAAAAAAGAGCAAAGGAAGGAAATCATAAAGATTAAAGCAGAAATTAATGACTTTTTTAAAAAATGAAAAGGTAACCAACCAGCAGCTTAACTCTATAATGCGTTTTAAAACTTTTTTCCCATTTATCTTTAGTCTCAAGATGTAACCTTGAAGTAAACTGCAAAAACCTTTTCCTTTAACCTTAAAATAGACTGTATGTCCCTTCCTTTCCCACTGTGTACTCCCTTCACATTCATCTAATTATGCCAGTATCTATGTGCTTACTTAGGTGTTCAAGGGCTAGTCTTGAGACAGACAGACCGAGCCTAGACACCAAGCAGAATTCCAGAGATTACCTCAAGACAGCTAGTCACCAACCTAGCCATTGTTCAGATGATGTCAGCCCACACTCCAGGTAGACAGAGACCCAAGATAGCCAGTGAAAAAGGACACACACACCTTGCACTCAGCACAACTGCATGCGTCCCATACCAAGTTTATTTTTATAAACCCTTGCCTTCTCCCTATAAATTCAATGTGATTGCTTTGGATGAGAATCCAGCCACTTTCCTATTGCTAGTTTTGGTTAATGAAGTCACTTTCCTTTTACCAGACCTCACTCTTCTTGAGACTCTGCAAGCAGCAAATGGCTGGACCTGCATTCATTTACAAAAAGAGAAAAAAATGAATGAGGCAAAACACCGTCTGTTTGAAAGAAAATAAAATGCACAAAGCTCTAGCAATACTGGTCAAAAAAAGACATAAAAATTAAGAATGAAAAAGAGGAAATCACTACAAATCCTTTGGCCATTAGAAGAAAAATAAAGGTTCCAGTGAATAGCTTTAAACTCACACAGTCAACAACTCAAAAGAAACAAGTCCTTGAAAACCTAAAACTACCAAACCTCAATCAAGATAAAACAGACAAAAACAGACAATCTGGACAGTTCTGTAATCTTCAAAGAAATCGAATTTGTAAATAAAAGTTTCCACAAAAAGAGATCTCCAAGTCCGGATAGTTGTATTGAAGATTTCTACCATAAATTTAAAGAATTAACACCAATTTTATACATTCACCTACAGAAATAGAAGAAGAAAAACGCTTCCCTACTAAGTTTATGAGGTTAGTGTTACCCTTATAACAAGCCTAGAAAAAACAATACAATTATTTATATCACTCATCAATTTAGAAGCAAATATTCTCAACAAAATATTAAGAAGTTGAATCCAGCAATGTGTACAAAGAATTCTACACCATAACCAAGTGGGGTTTATTCCAGGTATGTGAGGCTGTTTCAACATTTGAAATCAATCAATGTAATCCATCATAAGTTAAATTTAAAAATTTGTATGATCTTAACAATTGACACACAAAAAAGTATTTACCAAGATCTGTGATAATTAAAAAAGAAGAGAAGGGAACTTTCTTGGCGTAATAAAGAGCATCTACAAAAAACCTTCAGCTAATACACTTAGCATTAAAGGAATGCTTGCTTTTCCTTTAAGATTGGGAACAAAGCAATAATGTCCACTCTTATCACTCTGTTCATCATACTACTGGAAGTTTTAGCCACTGCAATAAAACAAGGAAAATAAATAACATATACCAATAAAAAAGGAAGAAATGAAACTGGACCTGCTTGTAGATAGTATGATTGTCTACATAGATGTAGGAAACTACAAAAAAAGAAAAAGAATCCTAGAACTAATAAGCATGAGGGCGTTCTTAAATTCAGATTAATGCATAAAAATCAACTTTATTTCTGTATGACATTACACATGACAATGAACATGTAGAAACCAAAATTAAATGTAACAATTTACAGTTATTTCATGAAATAGGGATAAGTCTAACAAATTGTGTACAGAATCTGTATGCTGAAAACTTTGAAATGCCAATGAAAGGAATTTTTTAAAGTCCTAAGTAAATAGGGAAACACTGTATTTATGAGTTGGACAACTCAACATAGAAAAGTTGTCAATTATTCCCAAATTGATCTACAGATATTAATTCAATTCCCATCAAAATCCCAGCAAGGGTTTTTGTAGACATAGAAAACCTTATCCCAAAATGTATCTGGAAAGCACTTGACCCTAGAATATCTAAAAAAAAAAAAGAAAGAAAAATTCTGGACTAAGAATAGAATGGGAGGAATTATTCTACCTGGTATTAGTTTTACTATGTAATCATAGCAATCAAGACAGTGCAGCATTGACAATGGGATAGACATATTGATAAATGGAACAAAATAGAGAACCCAGAAATAGACCTACACAAATATGCCCAACTGAGTTTTTTATAAAGATACAAACACGATTCAATGGAAGAAGGAAAATATTTTCAACAAACAGTGCTGGAGGAATTTAACATCGATAGGCACAAAAATGAACACAACCTAAGTCTCACAGCTCATAAAAAATTAATCAAAATAGATACAAACATAAATGTGAGACATAAACTTTAAAACTTTTAGAAAAAAAAATAGAATCTTTAGGATCTAAGATTTCTTAAACTTTACACCAAAAGCATGATCCACAAAAGGAAAAACTAATGAATTTAACTTTATCAAAGTTTAAATAATTTATTTAGTGAAAGATTCCATTAAGAGAATGAAAAGACAAGCTATAGACTGGGGAAAATGTTTGCAA